TAAAAAAAAGTACTATGTCAGTGTGTGGTACATTAAATTATTATTATTATTGTTTGTCCTTTGGGTTCCTAATGGAACATACGGCTTCACTAACACCTCTCCACTACACTCTCTTCTTTGCAATCTTTTCAACCTGGTCCCACCACTGCCCACAACCTCTCATTTCCTCCTCACACAATCTCCTCCATGTCACCCTCACCTCGGACACCCAACTCATAGTTTCCCATTTGCATTCCACTCAACACCCTGGCCTGACGCGTGATATCCCCAGTTGGCCTTCTCACTGTATGCATAATCCAATCCATCTCCACTTACTTCCGCTGCATATTTGTTGAGTGATAGGTTCTTGGTTGGTTCGCTGCCAAGCAGCCGAAGTGAGTTCCTTGTTACTTATTCACACCATTCTGGCCATCTAATCTTCAGTAAGGAGCCAGTGTAGGTGGCAGTTGTTGATGAATGTCTGTGGTTTGTTGTAAATCTCTTTCATAACGTGCCAAGTCTCTTGTACATTATATAAATAAATTGAAATGAAATTTCTGTAAGTTTACTTTGAGATATACATCACCCACTTAAGCATATAGTCCTAATAAACTCAAAGAATACCTAAATGTCTAAGATCTGCATAAATAAATGTCTTGTAAATTGATCTAAAAAGATAAAAGATTGTATGACAGAAAGAAGAAATAACAAGTATAAACATATTTAGATATGATGTAAACATCGCCACTTGAAAAGACTTGTCTGACTGGTACTGACGGCAAAGATAAGACAGATAAATAGGTCACAGTCTTCAAATAACTGACACTCTTACATTTTGGAAGGTTTTTATTTGCTTAGAGAAGGGATGTGGAGAAATTTAAATAGGTTAAATGGTTTGATGACTGCTGACTTTGGAACATCATAAGGGTATCTAGTGATAGGCATATGTCAGATCAAGTTTACTGAGAACAGTTACACTTTCCGGAGTAACAGTCAAATCGTGTATGTGGAGCAGTGGGTAACGATCTATTGTACCTTGCAATTTCCTCCTACATTTTTTTCAATTTTTTTTCTGGAATATCTACTGATTAAATGTAAACTATAGGTGCTTTTCACTGTTATATCATGCTACACACTACTTATATGTTATAATCAGTAGCACTCACACGCACAAAACAAATAAGCTGTTAAACTTTTCATCAGTGTAAAAATGATTCACAAATTATTTGGCGTGACTAGATTATGTTCTGTCCTTTAAAAATGCATAAATCTGTATTCAGACTTTTTGTGGAACATTTCTGCCCGAGAAACACTATCCTGCCTCAATTTTTAGACACTAGTATTTTCAGCAAATTCAATCAGGATTACTGTAATTAATGTTGATTACAAGGGAGATGTTGTTTTTAAGCATTATTATTAAAAAATAGTGGGAAGTATCAAGTATATACCAGCAGAAGGTGATAAATTCGGGCTACCTAGATCAATAACATCACATTATTTGTGTAGATGACTGTCAATATACACTCTATTCATAAACGGTATCATTTACAGCTCAATGGGCTAGGGAGCAACGTTGTGATGTTTAAAATGCCGGTTGATAATCTCTATTCTGATTGCGTGCAAAAAGCAATCACTGGTATACATACCTCTTCAGCTGATGAATTCCATGCAGGAGAAAACGTGTTTTGTTATTTGGATTGGGGTAGTCAACTGGAAGCGATTTCTTAATTCAGTTGTTAACCACAACTGATGAAATGACATCAAGACATAATATTACACTTGAAAGAATTAATCATATTTTTACATTTGGAAGATGTAGTTCATTTGATATGATGCATATGCGCTATACATTTCTATAAATCTGATCACACATTCACTCCTCAAGACAGTTTATGTGGAAGATGGAGATGGAAAGAAGGATGAATGTGACGAAAAATAAATATAATAACAAGAAAGGTAATGGAGGGAGAATGATACATTTCGAAGCCAGATTTGTCAATAGGATAAGATAAGCACTACCACAGTAAGCTTAATGTTGGGACCAACTGATCTGTGTAAACAAGGAGGACTTGAATTTGTGTATAGATAGAGTTTCAACATACTAACACCCATGATATTTCTGATTGTAGTAGACTGAATCATGCAGCAAAGGGAGAGAGAGAAAAGCAAGATACACTGGACCGGGGAAAAGAACCTAGAAGGTTTGTATTTCGCCGCCGATGATGAATTATGTCTAATGTCACACAAACTCGAGGATCTATAGGTGAAAACTAACAAGTTGACAGAAGAAACGAGACGAGGCAGCGAAGACGGGACTTCAAGTGAATAAAGAGAAGACAGAGGTGATAAAAATACCCAACCAACAAGAACAAGCTGCAATCACCATCACCATGAACGGGAGAAACTTGAAGGAAGTAGTCTCTTCCACCTACCAACCAGGCAGCACTGTTTCAACTACAGGTGGCTGTGGCACAGATGAGGACGTCAAAGCAGACAGGATCGGAAAGACAGCAAGACAAGCGTTCATTTACCAGAAACCGGTGTGGAGATCTACAACACTGGACTCGGCACAAAGCGTGAACAACATCCGGATTTTCAACACCAACGCCAGTCAAGTCAGTGCTTCTGTATGGCTCAGAAACCTGGCACGTTAAGAAAGGGAGTTCAAACAAACCACAGACACTCATCAACAACTGCCACCTACACTGGCTCCTTACTGAAGATTAGATGGCCAGAATGGTGTGAATAAGTAACAAGGAACTCACTTCGGCTGCTTGGCAGCGAACCAACCAAGAACCTATCACTCAACAAATATGCAGCGGAAGTAAGTGGAGATGGATTGGATTATGCATACAGTGAGAAGGCCAACTGGGGATATCACGCGTCAGGCCAGGGTGTTGAGTGGAATGCAAATGGGAAACTATGAGTTGGGTGTCCGAGGTGAGGGTGACATGGAGGAGATTGTGTGAGGAGGAAATGAGAGGTTGTGGGCAGTGGTGGGACCAGGTTGAAAAGATTGCAAAGAAGAGAGTGTAGTGGAGAGGTGTTAGTGAAGCCGTATGTTCCATTAGGAACCGAAGGGTCAAATAAAATAATAAATAAGCGCTTCAACAAACCCAGGTATACGGTGCTTACAGTTTTATACACAGTGTTTTAAAAGCTGTTCTAATATCAATCCTGTGATTTGTATCAATAATGTGCTTCATGAATGATGATTATGGCTGTCTGCCACATGTGTTTTCTGATGTTTGTGAATTTAGTTGCTTTTTTAGCCATTTCGGTGCATGTTCTACCACCGTCAGGTTTATACCTCGATTAGTTATCGCCTTATATTTGTGTCTATATACGCGTGTAAACTGGTAAGCGTAGTAGGATATGACTCAATTGTTCATTCAGTAATCACCTCCGTTCTGCAACGTGGGTTTGGTTTTGCCAACTACAATGAGGCCATCTTCTTAAATATATTTTGCTAATGCCAGACTCTACGCTTCATTTTAAATTTACCCTACAAGACGGTTGTGTGTGTTACAAACACATTTCTTCGAGAAAAAAAATACAGAATGGGTTTCAACAGCGAATCACTTCTGTGAAAATTTATGAACATAAATCGACATCCATTTTCTTATAGTTATGCAGTTAGTATTTTGGCATCTTCATTCATTAAGTCTTCCATGAAAATATGCTTGATCCTTTTGAATGGGCATTTTATCAAACCTTGCTTATACTGAGTTAGACAAAAGCTACAGAAACTTAAATATTTCTCTGTCCATGTAAATTTCTCGTAAATCATCCGTTTTATTGAACCTTTCTTTCTACGGTTCAGAGGCTTATACTTGAGTTTGTTGAAGCTCTATCTATACACAAATTCAAATCAATCAGTACTTACACTAAGTCTACTCTGGTAACGCATATCATATTCTATTACTAAATTTGACTTCGAAACTTATCGTTCTCTCTTCATTACCTTTCTTATAATTATGTTCCTTTCTGTCATATACATCCTTCTTTGTATCTCCATTTTTTTATATAAATTGTCTTGAGAAGTGAATGTGTAATCAGATCGTTCGAAATGTACGACGCATCAAATAAACTACGTCCTCCAATTACATTTCCTCAATTACTTTATATAAATGACTGACAGCGTGATATCTTAAATGTTTTCAAGATTAGTTTTAGATTCGAGTATGAAATGATAAATACTGAAGTTTATATAAATTCCATTTTCACAAACATAAAGGATGTTGGAGAACCTGTACTACATCATAATATAGATGGAAAAACGAAAACTGTCTAGATGAACGCTTACTGTTTTTCGACCTTAAATAAAGTTGTAAATCGATGAATAACCTAAACAATTATCAGCCTATAACTTTATTAACCGAAAGCAAATGAAACATTTTTGGTTGTTTTTTTGGTTTCATGAGATATTTTAGGATAACAGAGTGAGTGAAAGGTAACTGAAGAAGTAAAAGTTACTGAGCGTTACTAATGATTAAAACAACAGCCTTTTTTTTCTTTTTACAACAGAATCTGAGTAGTTTTTATTTCATAATACTTCTAACTCCCCGCAATGTTATACTGGGTTTAATTAATCGACTTCTGTTGGCATATGAGCTCCTATATAGATACCTTCATATTGCATCAATATTTATGAAAGGAAATTACAACTAACAATAAATAATAAATGATACCGTTAGAGCAACAGGTGGCTGTCATGCCTTAGCGGTCTGGTGTATAACGCTTCGACGTTTGAGCCAGTGGGAGCAAGATTCAAGTATCAGCGGGGATACCATACTTTACTGGAGATGCAGGTATATCTAGCTCACAAGTTAGTCCTAAATAAGACGGAACATGCATCTTACATTCCACCGATGGCTCACATCAAGTAAACGTACGGCTTATTTAACACAGAGTTAGGCATTGTAACGTAACATTTACAAAAATCCATTGAATAAATAATTGTACTGTATGCCTAAAATGTTGTTTATCTCGATTCCATTCTTTTTTCTGAACTATTTTAGAGGAACAATACTCAAGGTAGATATGACATCTTTGGAACAACTTGATAAATACACTCTGCCACCATCAACTAAACCCATTTCAGAATGCAATGATTCAGTGAGTTAATTTCATGCTCTGCATCATTTTCAATGTTAGTTGTTCATGATTTTACCTGTAATCAATCAAATTTTATTCTGCATAATGTTATTAACGACATTATTGTTTAGAATCTTTATTCACACGGATTTAAGCGAACTGTTATTATTATTATTATTACTATTATTATTATTATTATTATTATTATTATTATTATTATTATTATTATTATTATTAGTCCCTTGGGTTCCTAGTGGAACATAGGGCTTCTGTAGCACGTCTCCGGTGAACTCTGTTCTCTGAGATCTTTTGAACCTGGTTGCACGACAGCCCAGAAGCCCTCATTTCCTCCTCACACGATCTCCTCCATGTCACCCTCACCTCGGACACCCAACTCGTCGCTTCCCATGGGGATTCCACTCGACGGCCTGACGCGTGATGTCCTCAGTCAGCCTTCTCAGTGTATGCCAAATCCATCTCCACTTCCTTCCACTGAATATTTGTTGGGTGATAGGTTCTTGGTTGGTTCGTTCCCAGAGCTCCTTGTTACTTATTCTCACCATTCTGGCAATCCATCTGATCTTCAGTATCAGTAGCGAGCCAGCGTAGGTGGCAGCTGTTGATGAATGTCTGTAGTTTATTGAAAATCCCTTTCGTAACGCGCCAAGTCTCTGAACCATATAGAAGCACTGACTTGACTGGGTTGGTGTTGAAAATCCGGCTCTTGTTCACGCTTTATGCTGAGTGCACTGCAGTAGATCTCCACACTGGTTTCAGGCTAATGAACGCCTGTCTTGCCTTTCCGATTCTGACTTTGACGTCCTCATCCGTCCCGCCTGTAGTTGAAACAGTGCTTCCTAGATAAGTGAAGGAGGTTACTTCCTTTAAGTTTCTCCCGTTGATGGTGGCTGGAGTTTGTTGTTGTTGTTGTTGTTGATGGTGGTGGTGCGGTATCTTCATCACTTCTGTCTTCTCTATATTCACCTGAAGTCCCGTCTTCACTGCCTCTTCTATCAACTTGTTAGTTTTTGCCTGCAGATCTTCAAGTTTATGTGACATTGGGCACAAGTCATCGGCGAAATCCAAGTCTTCTAGGTTCTTTTCCGCGGTTCAGCCAGCGTATCCCCCTCTTCTCGCTGCCTACTGTTTGCTGCATGACCCAGTCCACCACAATCAGGAATATCATGGGGGATAGTAGGCAACCTTGTTTCACTCCTGTCTTCACTTCAAAAGCATCACCGAGCTTCCCATTATGAATTACTTGGCATGTGGCATCTTCATATAGTTGTTGAATGAGGCGGATATTAGGCCTTTTAGACGGATCTTTCATGATGAAGTGTTACATAAACACTTACTTGACATTCTCCTATCAGCCTACATTTCCATTCGATGGAAAACTGATGAAACGTGAAAAGTGGCATAGCTTCTAGCGTTAATAATCACCACGAATATAATTTGCGTAAACCCCATAAAAACTTCTATGTACAATCAACAATGATCAAGATTAGTATTAGGACTTATCATTCACAGTTTTGGATTGGTTGAACCATAATGATTAACCTTTGATATCAAGTAGATACGTGTATGTATGTTTCAGTATAGCTAGACATATTGCATTGGAATCCAGAACTCATATTCCATCGTATTTTGAATTGATCATCTAGACGAAACGCGTATCTTAGATTTAACTGATAGCCAGTGTCTGTCTTTCACCATCAGTATCCTCTTTCTGACCTGACGAGCTGAAAACGGTATGAAAATATTAGTAGAAATTAAGATCAATTCGGTGCACAACTAAGCTTAACTTACGCATTAAAACATTGTAGTAATTAATGAATAACATCTTGAAGAAAACCAAGCTATAGAAAAATAATGCGTCAACAGTATAATGTCGATGTTGTAAACAATGTCAGGGAAATAGTTGGATAACAATGAACAGCAGCAGTTACTGTAAGTTAACAGAATACAACGTTTAGCTTTAAAAAAACTTCGCATTTGTAAATGTTGTAGTGTGAAATACGGTTGCTATAACCTTCAAAAAAAGCCTTAACTCTCTGAAGCTTTCTACAGCTAATCATCTTGCACCGGAAAAGAAAGTATCTGAACTAACGTGTAAATATCAAGTTGATTCAAGGAAAGAAAATCAGTAAGATTCATATCTAAAAAGATCTGATAATAGCCAAGGTCATTGTAATTTCATTTAAGCCCTTGTATGTTGTGTAAATTTTTGATGTTGTATTACGTTTTTTGACATCCCATCGCCTTTCCCATTTATTGAGAACTGAGCAGCCACCAACAAGTAGAATCTGAAGGTTATCGTTCAGACATCCACACATATATATAACTTAGGTTTTGGCAAACAGACACTAAAAGAATATAATAGGTGACAATGAATGGCGTTAAGGATATAAAAGTACAGTATTTTGTTATTGTTATGACACTTGTAATTTCCTGTTGCCATACAAGGCCGACTTGCTCGGCCACTGTTGCCAGATAGGCTGCTGTGCGGATACCTCGATACTGCTGATTATTCATAATTCTATGTTGATCCTGGCGACTAGCAGAGGAATCCAGGATGCACGTTTCGTTTTATTCGGAACTCGTCAACCGCATACACTTGAATCCCAGTGCTCTAGTGACTCAGTGGATAACGCCCTGACAACTGGAGCGAAAGGTACTGGGTTCTGGCCCCAGTGGAAACAGCATTGCTCACTAGGGTGCAGGTACATCCATCTGACAAGTTCCAAATACGACGAGACGCGCATCCTGGATTCCTCTGCTAGTCTCCAAGATCAATGTAAAATCTTTTGTTTAACGTCTAAGTCAGCACTCTTCTTATCCTCGGTTTTTCTGTGGAATGTTGAACATTCATTCTACCTGAATCCTCATTAGCTGGTCGTTATCCCTCTTGACTTTGCTTTGCATACTACTTATATTCATTCTTATAAGTAGCTGTCCCCACAAATGTGTCATAAGACAATAAAAAGAAAAGGAGGAAACTTGCAAATGCTTGAACTTTGCTCGTTTTTTTATGTCTCTTAACCAAATCAAATTTTTAAAGTGCTAGCCCGTCTACACTTTTGTCGAAAAACGAGTTGTTTTTTTATTTAAGCGTATAAGATACATTTCTGTAACATAATTTTTGCATACTTTGTACATTTCCTACCGATTAAAACAAAATAGTGTATTCTGTCGTTTGTGCACTGAATTCTGTATGAGATTAGTCTGTCTGATACAGCAAATAGTAAATTACACGGTACCACCCTGTCCATATTATTCACTCCCATGTGTGCTGAATTCTTTTCACTTACAGTTAGTACCAGAACGTCAGATGTTCAAAAACACTAAATGGATCAATTAAGAAAATTGAAAATTAACAAGTCATTCAGCTGTAACCTGACCACTAATTTTAAATGAATGAATCAGAGTCAACATGGGGTCTATCATAATCGTGCAACGGTTGCAGTTGTCATACCTTATATCAGCACATCAAACGAGAATGCATTGTGAAGAAGGATAGAGAAACAAGGAGGAAAGTAATGAAACTGGTAGAAGACCATGACAAGAGAACCGGAAGGAATGAGATGACAATGAAATTTATTACGAGGAATAAGATGAAGATAATGTACTAATTCATCTGCACCACTAAGATCGATCCTCAGTCATATCCCTGACAGTCTTCAACCAGAGACATTGGTTATCACGTAGAGCCTGACCAGGAGGTCTAAATTCTCTCACACGACTTAGACCAAGAGTTAAGGATTCATAGACTGGTTCCGCGTTCTAGTCTGTTCACCTCTCAACCCTGAACCCATTTTAGCTAGCAACATACGACGGTTTAGATGGTGATTTGATAAGTGTAACTTACTCCTCAGCCAAGTAAGCCAAGGAAGGTTCACAACCTTATAAACTGAAATATCAACTCTTCCCCAAGCTCTGTAACCTCATTTTCCATTAGTGATGTGATGACAGTACAATAAACTAAGGCAATGGTATTTGAACACACAAAGCTTCCTCATGTCGTCTATCTTTGATGATCATTTATCACAACCACATAGTATAAAAGAGAGAAGTTTAGCAATGTCCAACAGACAGTCGAATATCACACTGGCATCACAAATGGCTCAAGTTGGCAAAGATAAAGTGTACTTTCTGAACCTATACTAAGATTTCGTCGGTCACTAACCCATAAAAGTTGAAGCAACTTTCTGAGTAAGTGAATTGGTCCGTGCGATTAGCAACTTTGGGTTCAATGGTAGTATCTGTAAAAAAATACATTTGCCCCTCTATAGTTGGACGAAACTACATTTAAATGCTTTCTAACTGACACTATACACTTCATCACAACTGTATTTCAGTCTTTTGAATCCATTCCAATTTCGAGCAAGTTTATGCAAGATCTGGTATTCTATTATATGTCAAAAGCTTCGATATATTTATAATCACCAGTGTAAACGTTTAGCATAGGAATTCTCTTAAAATATTTAATGACGTCCATCTACTACGTTAAAGTCATTGCTGTCCTACAACATTGCTTAGTTGTTAAGATGAATACAGACAAGGTGGATAACCTAAAATATCTAGAATAAGAGGAGGCTAGTCATGTGAACGGTTGTCATGTTATTAGTAATCACTGAAGTGTAACATATTACATGCTGTGGGAATACGGATTTTGCTGAATTTTTTCATATACTACTACAATTTAGATATGCCTAATACAGCGCACAGTTGTTTCACAAGTATAAGATTTACCGATTCAAAATCAATTAACTTCTTCAACGATTTTCGTCTCCACAAGCTTCACAATAATAACTTAAACACTTAATTCCTCTATTGATCGGTATGCTGTATAAAACCATTTCAGAAAAAGATTTTAATTACTAGTATGAAAAACATAAACTGATTCAGAGTTCATTTCAGTAAAAAAAAAGTGGTGATTGAATAGTGCTTTTATGCAACTTTATATCAGATTTGAAATCTTACTAGTGGGCTACATCATTAACTGCCAAGGAACTTTATACTGGGTGACTGAAAAATTTCAAGACAGATGGGGAGTAGGGTGGAAAGCAACTTTTTTCAACTTTTACAAATATTTTTGCACTCGATTAATAAATTTATCACTTCACTTATTGATTCACCTTTCGACAACTTGAGTGCAAGGGATTGGTCCAGGATAGGTCTAAGTCTTTGCCTTGTCTAACGAAGAACGCCAGTCAACGTACACAACTCACATGATATCTCACCAGAGGATCTGACACGGCAATGGGTGTTCAAATACAGAGGCTTCAACAGAGTCATCTATATGCTATATACCCCTAATTCTATATCACTTTTGCTTGATGTTTGCTGTTTTCAAACCACTGCTAGCTTTTGTTTTTCCACTGCTCTGAAGGCTGGACTCTCCTTGGTTTCTAACTCTTTTAACCTATACATGGATTTACTGTTGTCAAGGTCGTTTAGAAATGTATACACTCAGCATCACTCTCAAGAGTTTTGACTGTTATTGAGACAGTAAAAGCTCACTGTAAACGGTTCATTTTCTCTTCTTGTCATTGCGCGTCAGTGGTATTATTGTTGTTGTTGTTGTTGATGTTCTGATTAAGGCTTAGAGTCATTTCGTATGCGCATTAAATTTGTATTGCTCGTAGCCTGCATCGCTCATAGACTGTTAGATCACGCTACCAGTCATATCAAACTGTAGACGAATGTATCTTGAAATGGATCCATTACGCCTGGAGAAGTTTCACTTGGGAAAAGAGAAATACGAAGATAAATGAAGATGATCTTTTTAGATGAGAACTTTGTGGGTACCTTATATTTGAACTAAACAAGTCAATAACTTACAAAATGAGTGAACAAAAAGATAATAAGAATCTCAGAGTGTGTTTATGTTTCCTGAAACTTGAAATTTTCCGTTGCTACGTAGGGTTGGATTACTCGACCCCTATTTGGCAGATCATCTTCTATCCGGATGCCTTGATACTGTTTGAATAGTCATTATATTATAATCTACTTGGCGGCTAGTAGTGGGACCAAAGATGCGCATTTCTTTCTGTTTGGCACTCTTCAGATGAATGTACCTGCACCTCAGTGAGTGATGTGGTCCCAACTGAGATTCGAACGCAGTACTTATCACTTTCCACACCAAAGTGTTATCCACTAGCCCAAATTCTGTTTGTTGAAATTATGATAAATCTTTAAATTGAATAATGGAAATCCTCGGGCTCTAATTTGAAAGTGTATATGACTAAAATTATTCCAGCCGGTTTTCATTTATGCTTAGTCTGTCCTTTAGTGTATTCAGCATCCAGTATTTATGGTGTAATTGAAGAGTAGATTCATATTTTATTTTCTAATGTTAGCTGAACCTAAAAATACTGTTTTGAGTTTATCAAATACATTCACCTAGTTTTGTGTACTGTTAACAAATTTTACACGCCAAATAAGTTTCGCATTCCAGTATATCAGTAACGCATAAACCGATAGTTTATGTTAAGTGAGTGGATTATAAATCTGTGATTTTTAGTTTTAATGAATAAAACGTAAGGTCATTTGGTGGTTAAATGAATAAAACAACTAAGGTTTGATGTAGCACAATTTAAACTTTTAAGAAATTTTATTTTGATTGTACGCTGAATGTAGCGCAAGCAGTTTTATGTAGGACTGGTAATATTCCAATATAACAACAATAAGTTGATTAAAGCTTAATATATATGAACACCATTATAGTGTGATATCATTTACTTTCTGTAATAGTTAATGTATAAATGATGCAAGGGGAAGTTTCATAATAGATGAATGTCAGCTATTCAATTACTGAAAATTCATGACTGTCTAGTGTCGCAAAGATACCTGATGGTTGTATGGGATCCTTGCTACTGCTAAGTCTTAAAGAAGGAGGTAAAAGCTTTTCACTACTTCTAGTTTTCCAATGGTTCTCTAGCTGCTTTTATCTCACGATGGAAACTATTTTCAAACCAATAAATTCCACCAAAAAACTGTAGAGTAATGCATAGCTCATTTTCGTTTTATATTTTATAACTTTCAGAGGTCCTGTCATTCAATTAAAGAAATTAGTCTTCTCTCTAGAATGCCAGATGAACGCATGATATGGCTTTGCTATGTACATCACAATCCATATGACAATCATCCAAATCTACAAGCTGAAAGTGGTTGCATGGTCCCGACAGTAAGTTATACAGTTTTTTGATATCCAAACCGAGTTGACATTCGACGGCTTAAATACTATATCTCAGTAAAGGCAAATTAAATTGAAATTTTATATGTTCTAGTTCTTTACTTGAGTCTAACGATTGCTTGTGATAGCAGTCACAATGTGTCCAACTATAATTCCTGATATTTTTTAAAAAATCCGATGGGTTCTGCCTTATTCTGAAGGACTTAACTCATTATATGAGTTTTTGGAGACGTGAAATACAATTTATCTACTGTCAGAAGTACACCACCTACTCCATCTTTATTTCTGATGAAAGGTAATAATAGACTGTTCACAACAAAGTTAAGTGTTACCAATAGGCTGTGGAAAATATCTTTAGAATACCTAATTTTGGTCAGAAATTTTAAGTAAATGATGATTTAGCGTTTTTAGAAAAACCTGTTTACAGAAAAAGGTTTTTGAAACTTGCATATGAACTCATGCATTATGAATCATAACGGCAAAAATATCAAATAATATCCATTAGAAGCGAGATTTTCCTTAAAAATCCAGTAATATGCATAGCCCAATCGTCAGAGATGGCAACCGGAGAATTACTTATCAGAAGGTGTTCTTTAGTTTACTTCAGTTGGGTGGAATATGTTTCCGAGTAGTTAGAAAAGTAATTAAATTCACAAATATTGATAGGTGAAAGGCATCTGCTTTACCTACTTGCGTAGTGATTTCGTCCCCGCTGGGGCTTGAACTCGGGAGCGTTTGCTTCGAACACCAGCGCGTCACCCATTACACCACCAAGCTACAACAGATACGCTTGTGCGACGGGTATAGTTTTTAGTATAAGAGTTTTTATATGATACCGTCGGTGAATGGACCGAATTGATCGATCTCTATTAGCACATGGGCTCTTGTGCGGATGCCTTGATATTGCCAGCAATCTAATTATGTTAAGGATGGGTAACGCGCTGGCGTTTGAAGCGATCGCTCTCGAGTCCGAATCTCGGTGAGAACAACATCACTCACTGGGAAGCAGGTACATCCAGCTGACGAGTCCCAAATAGGACAGAACGCGCATTCTGCATTCCACTGCTAGCCATGATCCATCATTAACATAATTAGACTGCTGACAACATCGAGGCATCCGCATAGAAGCCTGTGTGCTAATAGAGACCGATCAACTCGGTCCAATCAACGACGGTATCGTACAAAAACCCTTATACTAGTCTCTCACATTGTATGTAAAAACTGTCAAGGGCATATACTTGAATTTGTTAAAGTGTTGACCATGCAAAAACTTAAATCCTCTTTGTTCTTGCATTACACCTACCTTGGTCCTATTTATATTATCTTATTATTTAGTTAAATCTCTAAAAGTATTATTCTTTCAAAGTGGAGATTCATAGAGAGTTGACTAATATTGGAGTATGCTTGATAGATTGACACGAAATCTGAAAATAGTTGGACATCAGAAGGATACTTTGCCTTAGTTTGGGGCTTGTCAACAGTCCTCACTCATCAATCTAAGGAAAAACACCTTTTCAGTACTTCCAGGTTCCCAGGTGTCTTCTGTTTGACATCGATCCTGGATAGATAATCTTCCGAGGTATTTTTCTTCTTTATTTAGCTCTCTGATTTTGACATCCTTCACTTACATATTTGTTTTCCTCAACCTCTCGCTTTACTTACTCATACGAAATACCTTTTCACAAAATATGTGATAAAAATGTTTGAATGGTACGGTGTAAATTTGTCACATTACCCAAATAATTCACACTTTTATGTGTGAACCTATGGCTCATTGATCTGAGCACTTGTTTTCCGACCGATGAGTCTTAGGTTCTGACCCAGTTCCATCTGCCCAGGTTTGCACAGCTACGTAATACAACCAACCTTTACACGATAGGTGTGGCTTACTGTCTACTGCAAGAATGTGGACTTGGTTGCTGAGTAGGATTCAACTGTACCTGGACTCCAGTGAGTGGCGTTGTTCCCACTGAGACTTGAACCCCGTATCCATCTCTCCAGACGCCAAAGCGTTATCCACTAGGTTAGTGAGGCACGATAGGTATCTCTTGTACAACGTTATTTTGCTGGATCAAATTGTTCCACCATTATTGACATATCAGCTCCTATGTGGATACCTCCATATTGCCTCAATATTTATAATGATAATTTACTTGGAGAATTACAAACATATCAACAAATAGTAATAACTAATACCCATTGAACATGAGATACCTACTGCGCCTCAGTAGCCTAGTATATAACGCTTTGATGTCTGAAGCGATGGGTTCAAGTCTCATTCGCAACAACGTCACTCTCTGGAGTGTAGGTACTCCCAGATGACAAGTCCCGAATAGGGTCGCGTGTACTGCACAGCAGTCCCGTCTGTTCTACTGTGTGGCTGTGAAACATGGCCATTGAAAGTGGAGGATATAAAAAGGCTTAAGGTGTTTGACTACCGTTGTCTTCATAGCATAGGCCGTATTCCGTGGTGTCACTATGTGAGTAACGCAGAAGTCAGGTGTAGAGTTTTAGGGAGAAGAGGTAAGTCAGTTGACACGGTTGTGAACCTTCATCGACTGAGATGGTTGGGACACCTACTAGGTATGCCTAGTCACCAATTGCCTCGTCACACAATGTTGGCTGAGGTGGGTCCAGGCTGGAAAAAAGCCCTAGGCGGCCAGACTAAAACATGGCACCAATGTATGAAGTCTCTGACTGTTGGTTTAAGCCATGTAGTACGATGCAGACTAGGTGGTTGTGGCCCACGGGACAAGAGGAACCAGTGGTTGGAGACCCTAGGTGATATGGCTCAGAACCGAAGTCAGTGGCGCAGATGTATACACACATTATCCTCATCTTAACAACGCTATACCGAATCTCACTATTTTGTCACTCCTCTTTCCTTTCTTCTCATACTTTATATTTCTTTTGACTGCATTCACTTATCTTCATCCTTCACCTCACTACCTTTTTACTTGATGTGCTGATATGAGGTGTGGCAACTCGGACCGTTACGCAGTAATGCCTGGTCCTATGTTGATAATAATGATGATGATGATGAAGTCCCGAATAGGACGGAACACGCATCCTGGATCCCTGTACTGGTCACAACCAGGTAAATTGTCGTGATTTCCGAATATGCTGAAAAACTTATCTCCCCCACTTATTAGAACTTCCGCTCTGGAGTATTCGTCTATTTCTTCTATATATTGCATGTTAGTTCTGTACATTTGTTCACTCAGCTCATGTTTTTAGTTACTTCATATCAACGATATCTTTAATTCAAGCTGACATTTTTCCACCAAAGTGATTCAAGTATGCAAACATTCAGTATAACTTGATGTTAAAATTCCTTCAGGTTGTAAGCAGCTGATTAGAAACCATGAAATAAAATGGGTCCATCCAATTCTACTAAAGTTGTTGTTTTTGCTCCATTTACATTTATGGAAGGAAAGAATTGTATCTGGTAGTTTAACGGTGAGTGACATTAAAGAAATAGACACTGGTAATTATATTTTGCTCTTAGTTACATTTAGAACTTAGTTAGTGATAATGAATTGAGCGAATCCAACCAACATTCTGATTAAGTGATCCAATGGTGTATGAGAATAAAATTTGGCCAATGCAGTAGAATGTGAATTTCAGATTATAAATAGTTTTTTTTCACTGTAAGTAACCACACATCACTGTTAATTAATAAAAAATAAACAGTCATATGGAATAATGAATCAGGATATCCAGGTATGCTCAACTGAAAGATGCCTTAGGTCAAAATGTTCACTGGTAACGGTTCTGAGCACTGAGCTGCATGACACAGGTATGGATCTCTGGTGATTAATCAACTTCCCTGACGTTAAATGTACATCTTATCCATGAATATTAAAACAGTAATGAAGAGAAATCAAGAACTTTCTGTCGATTGTTTCCAGTAGTTTTCACATGAAATAATGTATTGTGATTTTAAGTCACTCAGTTTGATGGTCAAACGTCAAGATACATTTGTAGAAATTGATCAAATGTAGGCGCGTATGACACAATTGTCTCTGAAAAACAGAATTACACTTAAGTTCTTAAAGTTATAACAGAAGAGTTAATAAATAGGGATAAATTACTTTAAGATCCTATTTATATTCATGAACTTGTGTAGTGAGTATATTGTAGCTGTTGAAATTATGAAGAATATTTGTAGCTCAGGTGGATGGTCTTAGTTGTATTGTGTTCTCTGAGCTGGGCTGTTTAATCGTGAAGCTTTCATCGCCTTGCTAGACGACATCATCAGCAATAACTTCAGTATGAAGTGAGCTGTCAATATCTCTCCGTGACAGCTCACTACTTCATACTGAAGTTATTGCTGATGATGTCGTCTAGCAAGGCGATGAAAGCTTCACGATTAAACAGCCCAGCTCAGAGAACACAATACAACCAAGAATATTGTAGCTGTTCTATTCAAACAGTTATGATAATGTTGCAATAGTCTTATTTTACAAACTGAAGGTTCCAATATAACTCAATTAACTTTATGTCGTATGATTTGTCTATATTGGTTGAAAATATGACCCATCTTCATTTATAGTCATTATTAACCAAACAAAATGAAACATCTAGAACAAAAGAAGCTCAACTAACAGAAATGTTGGAATGTTAACGTTTTTCGAAGTATCAGATCATTTTACACTTGTAGTATCATAAAACAGAATACTATTACTATTATTAAAACTTTTCACATCGGTTCCTACTGGAAAATAGGACTTCAGTGACACGTCGAAATTTCACTCTGTTCTATGAAATCTTTCCAACCTGGAGCCACGACTGCCGTAGATCTTCACACTGATTTCAGAATAGTGAAAACAGGCCTGTCTCGCTTTTCCAATCCTGGTTTTGATATCCTCGTCAGTGCCGCCACTTGTAGTTGAAACGATGGTCCCCTGCCCAGGTGGTAGGTAGAAGAGACAAAATCATCTGGATTTCTCCACTTGACGGTGATTGCTGCTTGTTGCTGATGTTGTTGA